GGTCTTATTTCCTTTGGTGCCAAAGTTTTTCTGCTTCTGTGTCTCTGTCCCGTGCAATATCTACTTTAGTCCATATCGCCAGCGCTTTCAACCTTCATCATGCCCCGTGATATGTAAGTTCCTCTCTGTCTCGTATAGCCGAGATTTCAAATCGTCTATGTCTATTTATCACAACTCCCAAGAGATCAGTAGGCTGTAAGGGTGCTAGAAATGAACGGGAACGTATATGAACTAATATTATTCACACATTCCATTGCAGATTGCAAGCAGTATGTCCTTTATGACTCACGATGCTCAAGTGAAAGTTTTCGAGAGGCTATTCATCTTAAGACTTCGTTTACAAAGACAGCTATAATGGTTGGGGTAGGGCTATTGATAGAGACGGCAAACTGAACATTATGCTGACGTATATCTCCACTAATCTTAAAAAACTACCGAGGAAGGACCCCATCAAAGCTGAGGTCCGAGAGTCATCGTGTTGAACTTCCGAACCGAACCCTCACCGAACATGAAGGACTTCATGTTCGGTGAGGGTCGTGCCATGATGCCGTAGGAGGTATTGGGTAAAGGCAGCGACGGGGGGGAGGGAGGGGTAGGGGGAGGAAGGGGGAGAAGTATGGGAACGGACGAAATTGAGGGCAGTTCTCATCCTCGATCCCCAGGGGAATTGTTGGATGAGGGATTGCGTTGGTCATGTCCCTCATCGGGGGGTCAACTATTTTGAAATCTTTGGTCAAAGGGGAACAGACCTGGGACCTCTGCGCCTTGTTTCTCTCTATCTGCTCTTTCGTAACGCTATCGTGACACGAAAACCTGCCCGGGCCTCATTTAATATATTATACAATCTAAACTTCATGACCCTAACCCGTCTATCTCACCTTGGTGAATCTGGATTGTCACGTTTTAGGAGGGGGAGCCAGTCTTTCTTTTCCCGAAAAACTTGCTCATGTCTGTGGCGTTTCGTCATACGAAACCGCTTCCTATACGGAAGAATAACTATTTTAAAACCCTTTCTTCTGTCAGTTCTTGAATTTCCAACTAAAAACTGGTCGTGAGAGAATATGGAGGAGAAAACATGTAAAAACAAGAAACTCCAAATTTAGACCAGGAAGAGAAGGGGTTTGGGAGGATGGGGGGGGGGGGGGCTGAGGTGAACTTGATCTCTTTGAAATTTATTGAATACTATTTGGTTTTTTTTTGGCTAAATTTGAGCATGAAGTCGACCACCATAGATGAGGGCAATCATTTCGCTAAATTTCGAGACAGCAGTGGTGCTAAATTCATTACTACTATAAATTCCTCGCGCCGCATTATTCCTTTTCGAAAGAAAGGAAGGTGCACTTGAAAAGACAAAAGTTGGCAAGGCAAACCCAATACTTTCTTTATTCTTTGAGTGACAGCTTGACAGTGAGTTGCATTGAAAATCAACGATGATGGTCTTTCTTTACTTACGTTTGCTTCCGCAGCTTCATGAAAAACATTACCTGCGTACGCTGCCTGAAATTTCATTTGAAGCGTCCAGATTTTCTGATGAAACGTATGGACTAAACCATCAAATCATCCTAAATAATTTTAACTTGTAGGATGGTAACAAAATGTGCTGCTAGACGATCCAATAGCTCCGTTTCATCACTCAGCCAGTCAACCACGCGTTACTCCGCGCTTCACCTATCAACTGTGGGTCATCTCCAGTCCTCGTGACAGTGTCCTAACTGGGTAGAGGGAAATAGAATGAGGGTAGAACGGCAGATGTCGTTTGTCACAAAGTAAAAAAAAAGGGAGTATGTAAAGGGGCCTTTCTGAGGGAAGTGTGACGTGACTGTCGGAACCGCCCCTCGAAAATAATTCTGCTTTGTCATTGCTCCATGAGGAATTTGATGAACGAGACTTTAATACTGCCGTGGGTTGGACGAGGTGAGGATCTGACGGAATGCAGTTCTCGAATCCTTCACGTGTCATCCGAAATTCTAACCTTGCAGACGCGTGAAAAGAACAAGCTGTCATCATATATCACATCAAGGCGGAGCTGAAAGAAAACAACAGGAGGCAGTATTGCCGGATAAATTCTTCTAGGTTCCTCTAATAGAATTTCTCATAGGAAGCTCCTAAGCCCCCTAGGAGGGGCTCGTGTTTTCTTCCGATACACCTGCATAAATGCATAATCGTCAGGAGCCAAAAAACGAGAAGTCAATTATTGACAGTGGACTTCATTGCGTGTAGAACTCACATGCAGCATTGTAATTGTATAATCTCAGTGGTTTCCTTATGAGTATTTTTGAAAGCGTCGAATGATTCAGGATTGTAAATTACAGTAAAGAGAGACTAATGAGTGGGCAGAACAAGGCCGGAGGGAAAACAGGTGGGCAAGGATTCAGGAAGCAGAGTTAGATGTTCACATTGGTCCGGGATAATGGGCATCATTACACCCGTAGGAAAAATGGCAAGGTTCCCAACGTGATTTGACAATATGAAAATTGAAAAATGAACCCTCACACCGCCAGAGAAATTAGGGGAAAATTAAAGGACCAAGGTTCAGTAATCATCTTGAATATTATTGGCACTATAGGAACGGAAAAACAATTCAGATATTTTGTGAAGCCTGGAAAACTATGGCAGGGGAGGTGTCGTCGAATTTCATCGCAATATTGGCAATATTATTCGAGTTGTCTTTAATGAACATGTCGCAGCAAACAGGCAGATATGACAGCCTAGAGGTCTCTTTCTACGATGAAGAAACAAAGCTTGCTTGAAATGGAGGTCGAGGATGAGATGTCGGAGCATCACCATGTCAGATCAGTAGTCATGGAATACGATCAAGCATAAAGTGTCGCCATATCCTGTGGCCATGAGCATGACGAGGATTAAGCAAAAACATGTTTCCTTCCCATCTCCCTATCAAGCTTAAGATCTTAGACCCGTATCCATGTTCACTCATTAGCTAGAACCTTCTATCATCAAAGGATACTCTTCATTAGGTACTCCTGAGACGGTCTTATGGTAGGGATTTTCTTACATCTTCGACCGTTCCAAGTCCAGGGTCCACCTAGTGCATGCGTATACTGCTCAATGTGAGAGAATCGGCAGCCGGATTTCTCTTTTCGGACTCGTTCAACAGGAGTTCAGACTTCGCTGTTGGTATCATCCGGTGCAACGTCATCCGAACAGAAAATAATATCTGATTACTTTACAAATGGAGATAAGGAGTTCTTCGAAAGGCTTGCGAGAGGAAAGTTCCGCGCTATCGAGGCGAAGAAATCTAACAACTCTCATTGAAGACAAAGGGGGATGCTGAGTAGGAAATTAAGCATCGCCTCGATGTTAATATCCCGAGCACGGAATCTCGCTCAATTGCTCAACTGAAAAAGTTATGTGATCGCATGAAGTGTGACGAAGAGAAGGGTGTGTATTGCCATAGACAAAAGGTAATTACTTCATCTGGTTGCTCCATCATGCTTTGGAAACCTCCAGTTTCGGTTTTTACATCTTACCACATGTACTGATAATATCCGTGATACTGGGAGGGAGCCCTCGTCGCCTTCTTCCCAAGGAGTCACCTGAACTTGGGCATGGTGGATGACGATATATTTGTCCATTTGAAGAGTCCCGTTGTCAGTGATGTTACTGTAGCATTGGCAAACAAAAACTGCTTAAACTGTCTCTGTGGATGAAGTAAAAGGAAAGAGAAGAAATTTAGGGTATGTACCCTGTCTTGTCTGTGATCTCATCCGTAGTTTTCCCCTATTAGTCATGTTCCATTTCTGATGTCTTCACCTACTTTGCAGACACACCAGGAGGTTCCTAACCGAGGTTTCCATGTTAATACTCACGTCTAAATACACATCCTAATACCTCCAGTGATTCATTTAATGATTCGCTGTTTCCTTGATTCAAAGTTTTCTTTATTTTTACTTCCCATTCATCAAAAAGTTGCATATTGCCTATATGGCATCACTCTCCCATCAAGTGCCAAGAAGCAGTTAACATGGTTTGCCTTCGAAAAAGAAGAAATTGAGCTTCAGGAACTCAGAAACAGCTGATGGTATTTTCCTTCGCTTGGTCAAGAGAAACATAATATGGAGATGCCAGTTTTGGCAATTAATATATTAATATCTCTGAAGGCTAAGAAGTTGTGGAAAGGAATAGGAAGAGCTGCATATCAGCGCGGTTGATGGAAACATCACTGATCAGTGTTATTCTCCAGTGTCCGCGTTTCCGTTCGAAAAACTCTTGATTATATACAAAATTAAAAGGAAGAGAAACTAATACATTCACTTATTTGTACTGTCGTCGTATTAGGATATAAAGTGCAACTAAACGAACATTCATCGCGTCTAAATTATCTGCTCCGCAGTCCAAATAAAAATGTCTTGGCATATCTGTCCATTCTTGAGGGGTGGGTTAGACGAGTGGCTCTGCCAAGTTTCGTGTATTGTTTCGTAAGACCCTCCTCCATCATAACAGTTGCCATCCATCACGTCTAGCTTGTACCTGTTCGAACACAAGATGCAGGGGGACTTTCTTTCAGCTGCCACATAGTCTCTCGATGACGTTCCTAGAATTCCTGTACGCTCATTGAGCCCCCCCTTTTCATCAGTTCCGGAGTTTTCGAATAGCTCGAAGAGGAATCTTTCCCAGGTGTATCCCGAGTTCCCAATAATCATCTTCAGCAGTTGATCTTCGGATAACCGGTACACACAAGGGATTTCGGAAAATGCATCTTTCATGGTAGACCCATACCAACTACCATCCAAATTAAACAATTCCATGTTGGCATTCTATGTGGTTTTGGTGTTGGAAGGAAAATGTTTTCTCGATTCGAAAAAGCTCAACTGCATCACTTTCTGGACTGGGTATTTCGATGCAGGTGGAGATGATAGCACCAAAAATACCTGACTAATTTTGCCACACGCAATTTCTGAACCACTTCTTGAGACGAATTTGGTGCGTAGCTGGGTGATTTTGTTTGGTAGACTGGCAACGAATTATAATGCACAAAAAGTATGTGGTATCACGAATGATTCTTCTTGGCATTAAAGAAAAACTTATTCGCCGAAACCGTCGAATTAAATGCAACTAACGGAATGCTTTCACCATGTTCATCGCTGAGAACGAAGGTCAATAGCGTTCCTTGTTAATTAGGGGATATTTGGGAAGTCCTTTTACTAAGGAAATATCATAAATGCCAAATATGAAGGAATTACCAAGCATTTTATAGCTGGGAAAATCTTTCAACGCATACGGACGCGATGAAAATAAGGGCCGTTGACCAGGCTTGCACTCCTTTCTGTTACTGTCCTGTGAATGCCATGTTGCGACTATTTCAATGCTTTTCCCCTATGACGGTCTTAAAATATTCACACAACCTTTTGTTCTTGTTGCAGGTTGATGCTTAGCCTGTTAGGGCTCGTATTGCTTCCTTCGTCTCTCAAAGCGTTATCTGTCAACTATGGACCCCCTGGTGATCCTTGGGGAGGCAGTCCTTTCCCGGTGAGTGTCTGTCCTCTGATTCCACCTCCTTTTCGATAGCACTCAATCAGTGATGGGTTTTTGTTTATTCACGTGCAGACACCAGGCGCTCCTGGGAGGTTAATAGATAAGCCAGGTGGCTATGACGGTTGTGCTCTCATCGTTCCCGGTCCGGGGAAGACGCATCATCTTGATCTGGCCTACAATGCCTTCAACGGCCTGGGTGGTTACGATGGGGCCGGGACTTGCATCACTTTCGAATCCGTGAATCGAGCATTCGGTCAGGCCAAGCGGCGCTGGGGTCTCCCGGCTGCTCATCGGAGGGAATTAGATGGTAATGAAGTCGGTGGCATAGGGAGAGTCCTCCTTGAGACCAGCCGTATTCTCGCCCATCAGTAAGCCCACGTTACCTCTCATTCCTACTTTATTGATCTGATTTTTAAAAGTGACAGCACGTGGAGTCATCACACCGTTGAACTATGTAGGTACGCTCTGAAGCCTGACGTGATTATCAATGGGCTACCGTTGATCGATACGTCCAAGACGATCATCGAGCAGTACTGCCCATACTGGCTGAAGAAGCCCAAATGCGAGATCAAGAGGTACCGAGAGTACAACGGACTGTGTGCTAATCCCGAGAATCCTCACTGGGGTGCCACCAGGACCACCTTCAAGAAACTCATTGCCCCTGCTTACCCAGACGGTGAGGTTAAGGAAGAGGCTGAAATGGCGTTGGTAGAGACGAACGATCTGATGGTTGACTCTCTTCTTGATGGAACCAATCAGATAGACCCCCTGCTTTCACCACTTCCGATCTCGAGGACGTCCACGTGGCATCCCTAGTAGCACGTAACATCGAAACAACATGGATTCAATGTTGATTCAACATCCGGATGTTGAATCAACATTGAATCATTGTTGATTCAATGTTATGTGCCACTAGGGATTGCAGGGTATGGAAAAAAAGAGGCCAACGATTTTTTTAACTCAAATGTCTCTATTCTCGCTGGAGGTATTTCCGCAATACTTGCACAGTGCATAAATGATATGTTCCAAGTAGATCTTCAAAATTTCATCCAAATCGGTTTGATCAAAGCAAGGCTACGAGCAATTGCTCAAAATAAATCATAAATTGAAAATGGACAGGGGACTAGAGTCTCTTCGGAGTGAGTAGACTTGTTTTCTGCTTGCGCCACTTTCTGACGTTAACCAAGAGAAAATCTAAATAGCTTTGTACAAATTCTCAGAATTGGTACTCATGTTATCACATTTACTTACTTATTAATACTGTATAGGAAAAAAGCTTATCGAAACAATCTGCTTGGAAAAGCCAGGTCACAGAATGCTATTCACTTGAGAGAAGTTCGATGTGCATTAGATGAGACGCAACCATAGCATGAAACTGTTTCCTTCACTTCCCTACCACCACAAACTCTTGCCCATTTGCAATATCTAGCTTCTTTTGAATAACTGTTCTTAGCTTTGTCTCGGCAGAACACATTTGTATGAAATTTTGAAGACATGTTGGAAGCATCTATGCGCAGAGCAAATTCTACAAAAATTGTTCCATTAGGAACGGATACATACAGTTTAAATGTCGGTCTTTTTTAATGTATGTATGCTTTAATGACTGTTTTCTTGTTCTCTGGATACAGGCTTGGATGCAGTGCGAGTGGCATACGATGGAAGCCCGCTGCCACCAGTGAGGTTGGTGTCCACAGTGGTGCACAGGGATGAGGGATACCATGATCACGCCGTAACTTTGTTCCTCATCGCTTGGGGCCAAGCCATTGACCACGACATCACCCTCACGGGAGAAACCAAAGGTAAACAGTTAACGACTACAAAGGGGCTCTCCGTTGGCGCCTCCTCGTCTCCCCTGGCTCTCTCGGAAGTTTTTTTTTTCCCATGAGAGAAGGTCATAGCCTAATCCAGTCTGGCACTTGCCCTCGGACAAAAAGGGAGACGCAAAAAAATTACTGGGGAGTGCCGGATTTTTTTTTGTTTTGCCCACGCCCTGCCTTCAGGTGGTTAATGTCAACATGATCCTCTGTTTCTTGCTCTGAAATATTTATAAAAGGGGTTCACCTTTGATCAAGGTCTAGAAAGTAAAGGAACAAAGGAAAATTTGGACGGGCCTTACCCGGAACGTAATAGGGCCATGTGACACTCAAGAGTTACGAAATGTCTTTGTGTGCATGAACTGGAGTGAGTGGGTGGGGCAGAGGTGAAGAAAAAGAATAAAGGTATAAACCCATCATTCTTGAGGTTTCGTCACGAGACAGGCATGCGATCAGCTATGTAGCATGAATGGTCAACAGAAGCTCGTAGTATTCCAATAGGTATTCATGAGCAAGTGCAGGTATGGGAGGACTAAGGGGGAGGCGGGGAACGTTGCAACACGGGCGTGGCAGGTCCGTGACTTATCCACGTTAGGGCCGCCTACTGGCCTCTCTTTGCCCTATTAAATCTCCCTGCGAACCCTCATCACCTATTCTAGAATAAGATATTGCAATTTGCCTGCTTCGAGTTGCCCTCCAGTCAACACCGTTTCTCACGTTATTGCAGGTCTCAAAAAAGGGCCGATCTCCTGAACCGTAGAAATGAGGTGATATCGTACGTGCTTGCTACAATTGGAGCAATCTCTTTAAACGAAATTCAGGTCATGGTTGAATGTAGATTAGAAGTCTAGCTTCTGGGAATATTTTTTTTCCGTCACGAAGTGATATTATTAGGGACCTTGCCTCAGGAGGTAGTGGCGGCATGGTGAATGAAATGGCCCACGAAGCTTCCGGCAGATTGAAAACGTCAAGGGAAAATTGTGAAGGCGTGGCATTCCTAGGTCTTTCTCTCAGGGTCAGTAAAATGAATATTCCGAGAAACTCCGTAGGGATGGATACCTCTGCTTGAGGGAGACTTATACAGCCCATTTTGGGACAGCTGGGTCCTATTATTAGCTTCCATCCTGAGTTGATTAACCCAGATAGCGTGATGCTATCTACCTGTGTTCGCAAGAGCAAGCCATCAACCGGAGAAGACTTGGTGCGCACTGTCCTAGCTAGCTGCCGTGGCCTGTATCTGACATGGCTATTCTTCATGAAGTCAGGCTTTATTTTTGCATGCTATAAAACTGTCGCCGCGACAGATTGCTAGCCAACAATGGTGGAAAGTAGCTGCTGTCAACTGCTCAAAAAGATGCGCAGTCGAAAAGCAGGTGAAATTCCTGGAATTCAGACACGATGGGGCAGTGCAACAAGTCGCCAAAGTCGTGCAGAGTGCCATGTCCTACTTGAAGGATAACCGGCCTCCTTCAATGAATGCCTTAGCATTCATCTGTTGGCGTGTGTTTCAGGCTGATGCCATATGACCTTTGCCATTTGAAAGGCATGAAGTGCGTGAGTGCTAATGAAACATGTATGGGAGCCGACAGCGAGGCACGCATTGGTTACATTGCAAAACATGTTTCGGCAAACGGTTTGCTTGGCCGAGATTGCGCAAGATAAAAACTGGAATTCCTTGGCCTCTGAAGATCAAAGAATCACGTACGAGGAGAATAAATGTTGATTATGGGGGAAGCACTCTCACACATGTTCTTCGACCTGAATCCCTATTTATTTTTCGATACTTGGTTGGAGTGCACACCAGAAATTGTGAATGTGAAATCTCATTAAAAGACTTCACATTTCAGGAATAATTTTATTACTTTCATCTGAGACAGAATTCTCAAAGGCTGTCAAAAATTACGCAGCTTCTGATTCGTCTGAAACAATTCCGTTGACAGAAATGTACATTGAAGATAACAGGAACGTGTTGTTGTGTGATGCAATTTCGACTTAGCTCCAGGTTTTCTTAGTTTCCTTTTCAATTGCTCCCAATTAATGTGAATTTCCTACTACGCTAGATATATCTCAGAAGTAACTATTCCATGAACCGTGAAATGAATTTATATTCCTATTTTTTTCCCCCGCGAATTCATCATCTATCGATATATTGAAGAAACTCCGTCTCGTAGTTTTCCCTCCTTAACTATCCCATGACGTCAGATCTTCATACCCTGAGGCAGCACTCGAAGCAGAAGCTTCGCCTGCATTAAAATCCCTTGTGCAATAATTTGTTCAATATGACAGTTTTCCTGATCTTGAATCGGATTTCAGGTTTTTCTATCAATCGTCGTCATATTTCACCATGCTGGGTTATGACGAAATCCGTCTGTCAGTTTTTTCCGAGGCATGGCGCAAAATGACACAATCCGAACCTGAATGGGGTCATTATTCCGTCCGAAGTTCCTTAAAGCTACATTTCTTTTATGCGTTGAATACTTTTTCCGTAAAGGATCCGGAGGGCTAAAGTTTCGCACATCAGGACTCATCGTCAGAGGGCACGAGCTTTATGTTTTGTCAATCTTGCAAAAAAAAGTTTATACTGTTTTTCAACCCTAATCTTGGTGATAAAGTGTAGGCACTCTACTGTGGGCACCCCCTTATGTGGGCTATGCCCACAAACTTCGTGCTTTTAGCTTCGCAGAGACTTTGTTTCAAGTATCTTTGGGAGAATTTTTACAATTTAACCCATCCGCGTACCTTTTTTGGTAATGTACCCATGAAATACCATTTAATTTAAGGCCTTAAGGTTTAAGGCTTCGGCCTTGCGTGCCATCTTTTGGCAATATCTTTGAACTATTTGCAACTGTAATGGATCAAACAGAACTCTGCACAGGACCATCGAAATGATGATTAGGTAGGCCAAGAGACAGTAAAGCTAGGCTGTCGATTCGACGGCTGGGAAGGCGGATGGGTTAAGACTGCATTTCCAGTAAACTACAAAAGCACAGACCTGCAAGGAAAGTCGCTCTCCTCTTTAGTAAAGTTGTTCCCTTTGGGAATGTGGTAGGAAGATCGCGCTTCGCTTCCCAATGCCATATTCATGGCATTTTGGAGGTTTCCCTCAGAGCTGTAACCTTCTTTCTACTCAGATTCAACCATAGTGCTTTTGTACCAAAAGCTCTACTTGGGTTGAGGAAAAGCTGGTTGAACCGAAAAGCCTCCTCTGGTTCCTAAAGCTCTTTATACTTTGATTTTACTGTGTTTGTATTACTTGATCAAGTAATGCTCGAGCAACCGATCTATCGGATAATAATGGGAATGCGCCTTTGGGAGTGAAAACACTAAAATTCAGAAGACCATGTTGTGAGTAGATGTGGGTCTCTTTCCGGCTCATTGAAGGTTCATCGAAGCTCGACCACAAGAGAATGCTAGTAGGTCTCCCTAAACCTATGGTGAGGGCACAAACCCACTTCTCCCTGTCTCACTCTCATAATATGCTCTATTTAACTCAACTCCCTTTTACGAGCGAGCGAATATTATTGTGTGCGTTAGGGCCCTCAATGGGCTGTGGTTCGGTCCGATTGGCCCGACCCGACCCGCAGGCCATTTCGGGCATCTCTCGTCGGGTAGGGTCGAGTCGGCCCAAATTTTTCTTATGCTTTTTTTTCAAATCTTGCCCCTGACCTGGGACCATAGATATTCTGCATCTAGACTGAAATGTGCTGATGCATTTTGTCATTGCGAAGGAGAATAATTTAATATGTAACTAAAAATGTAAATAAAGAGCAGAATCTGAGGCAGCAAGAGGGCAGCTACCTAGAGCCGATACCATTTAGACGCGAGGCTGTCTGGCTCCTGTCCTGCTGGAAATTTTCTCATGCAAAATAATATCCCTTTTTAACCCCGGTGAAATCGCATAATATACCAATTATCCAAAAATGATCCAATTCATTACAATAGGGTGTCGAGGAATGCCCCCATCTATTCAATGGTATTCATCTAGGGTGAATTCAATGGTTTCATCTTGCCTACAAGATTACAAGTACAAGGATTGGGATGAAGGGAGGAAGGTGAGGGAAGATATATGAAACAAGTCTTATTGAATGATTATTTTTAAGGGTGCGGCCATATGGATTGTGACAGAGCCAATCAAAAGCGCATTCACGAAACACGTATTTGAAAGAACTAAAAGCAAAATCTTTGGAACTATGTGGGTAATATGTTGGGAGTCATAGTAGGTTTAGAGCAGTTAACTTGGGGCCCACATAGGGTCAAGAGACTTGTCGAGGGAGCCCAATGTCACCTGTTTACTTTAACCCCATAGGTAGATTCCTGAAAGTCAATGTTGCTCCAATATTAGCCCAACCTTGGCATAGCATGGTTTCGTTGTTGATGTTGGTGCAGATGAGCGAAACAAGGACCCGGAATGCTGCAAGCGACAGGAGCACGAAGACTGTCTTCCGATCCACATCCCAGACAACGATCCCTTCTATTCTCTGTTCAACCACCGTTGCATGAACTTCCTCCGATCCGCCCCGGGTCCCCAATATGCCTGCAAGCTGGGACCGAGGCTCTCCTTCAACCTTCTCTCCAGTACGATCGATGCCAACTGGGTGTACGGAAGCAAGAAGGAGACTGCAGATGCCCTTCGGAGCTTCGAGTACGGCCAGTTGAAGATGTTGCCCGTCTTCCAGGAATATGGACTCAAGGAACTTCTCCCGTTGAATATGGCGGATCCAGAATCTGGCTGTCTGCGAGCCAGGAAGGACATCTATTGCTTCCATGCCGGTGAGCAGTTGGATTAAAGGGAAAATATTTAATTCCAGAATAGCTCCATTGAATGATTAGAACGATGACATTTACTGTCTTTCCTATTGTTCTTTCTCAGGTGACGAACGAGTGAACGAACAGCTGATTTTGACTGTGGTGCATACGATGATGGCTCGGTATCACAATATCTTGGCGAAGGAATTGACTCGAATCAATCCACACTGGGATGACGAGACGACGTTTCAGGAGACTCGACATATCGTAGCTGCCGTCACTCAGCACATCACATACAACGAATTACTCCCCATGCTCCTCGGGAAAGAGGTGATGGCGAAATACGACCTGATCCTGAAGAAGGACGGATATTTTGACGGGTACGACCCAAAGATCAACCCCACGGCTAGCGATGCCTTCATCACAGCAGCTTACCGATTCGGACATTCCCTCCTCCCGTCGACGGTCGAGAGATGGTCTTCAAATCACAAGTACATCGGATCTCAAAGGCTGAAGGACATGTTGAGGCAGCCATATGACCTTTACAAGGGAGGCTGGTGTGACCAGTATATGTGTGGTCTTATGAACCAGGTTGCTCAAGCCATGGACGACTCCGTTACCCACGAAGTAAGGCTTAAAATAAATAAAGAAAATGATTTGATATTAGATATACTTGATGAATGTAAATGATATCTCGTAATCACGGTCTTGACCATGCGCAAAAATTTAACGTGAAAAAATGTGAAATGATTGCGTGACTGCTGCCGTGTCGTGGTTCGTGACAGCCCCTCTTTGTTTCGGCAGTACCGGTCTCATCGAAAAGCGAAACTACAAGTACTTTGATCTTGGAATTCAGTTTCATGGAATTGAAACTCCACGGTACTATCGTAGCCATAGCTGATATTGGAACTGATTATTTTTTGACAGGGAAACGATAACTATATGAAATAAGAATGCTTAACTACTGAAAAAAAAAACTCAAAACAGAATCAAAACGAAAAGGTTTTCAAACCTGAAAACATTAAAACTACAGGTGGTGTTATATTTATGGTAAACTTTAAAAATATTATTGCCATTTTGTTGCCATAATCACCTTCATGTTGTTATAGGTGACGAATCACCTGTTCCAAGAGCCAGGCAAGAGGTTCGGTCTCGATCTAGCGGCGTTCAACATGCAACGTGGGCGAGAGCACGGCATCCCAGGCTACGGCGCATACCGGGAATTCTGCGGTTTGCCTCCGGTGAAGACGTGGTATGATCTGGCCGCCTGGATGCCAAATGACACAGTGAGGCGATACTCCGAAGTCTACAGGACCCCGGCTGATATCGACCTGTGGTCGGCGGGAATCTCAGAGCGACCTCTGACTGGCGCCATGGTGGGACCCACTTTCGCCTGTCTCATTGCTCTGCAATTCCGAGATCTCCGGCTCGGAGATCGATTCTGGTACGAGAACGGCGGATGGCCTAGCTCCTTCACCATCGGTACGATTTCTTCTCCACTTCCATTACCATACGATATTGGATCACGTTCAACATGTGTATGTTGCGATGTGGTTTCAGAACAATTGAACGAGATCAGGAAGATCAAGCTATCTCGGCTCGTGTGTGACACTTCCGACGAGATTCCCGAAGTTCAAATCTATCCCATGGTACTCCCTGACCACGAAATGTGAGTTATTTTCTTCACTTCCCTACCTGTTTAGGTTTCTGCAATGGCAACCGTAAAAAGGATACAGTAAAAAAAAAAAAAAAACTTGAAAGAAAGGTAGAGTCATAAAAAAAACACTCAAAACTTGTCAGTTTTCTTTATATTCCTGCTTCTACAAAAACGAACAGTACTGCTAATGCATGAATTTGTGATGACTTTGCAGCAACCCACGCGTGCCCTGCAGGAGCGGTATTCTTCCAGTCATCGACTTGTCGAAATGGAGAGACACAAGATATTCCGGCCCACCTGTAGGTGACTTTTACAAGAAATAATTTCCCTTCTTCCTCCCCCACTCCACAAAGGAGGCAACCGTTCTCTTTTCCACCACACCTTAAAAGTTCCCCAGAAGTACAGTATGGAAACATAGCCATCATGTGAGAACTCGGATTCTCCACTGCTTTTTCACGCTACCTCGAACATGCTGGCTTTTTTTGCAGTTAGAAGCACAGTCAACTTTCAGTTTTCATGGGGGAGAGAAAAAAAAACCATTTTATTAATATTTGGAGGTGATAAATAAGGCGATACTTCCGCGGCACGAGGTGAACCGAAGTCTTTCAGAGAGGAATCTTGCCCTCAGTCATCTAATATTTTGCCAACGTTACCGCATTTCATTGATTTTTTTTTGTCTTTAGAATATACCAAACTTACTGTCGTGGCTGTCTTCAGCTGGGCAAACATTGCTCAAACTGACGTTCGTCCCACTTCATTCATTACCATCCACACATCCCTTCTGTTAATACGAGTTGAGAGCGATACTCGGGATGATGAACTTTGTCTCCTGTGTGAGAGATAATTCCTTGTGGAGTACGAAATTGACTGCCATATTTGTTTGAAGGGGGAATGATGTAATATTTTTGCAATGTGCAACAGTTGTGTGTGCATACAGTATTGCTGTGCTCTTTTAAATTAGATATATCCTCGCTCTTTCGACCTCTTGTTCCTCCCTCTTTTTTGTGGCTTTTTTTTTAGATGCCTATTTTCCACGTTTCTTTATTCTGGAATTTGTGGTGTGAACCAACGCGCTTCCTCTTGGAGAGTTTCCATCTTGGAAATAAATCCGTATTTTGTATGCTTGGCTTCATTGCTCCTTTCTCTTCCCTGCACTCACCTTTCTTTCTCTGCTGTCGTCCATGTTGGAAGGCACTCTGAGTTGTCGCACTGTTCCTAGTAGACCCTAACAATTACGCCATGACTGTAGACTGACTTGTAGAACTCTGACGGTGACAGAAGGAACTCTGCATGAAAAGTTCCTGCCATGATGTTTGTTGCAGGTTCTTCGCACCAAAGATCACCTGACCTTTTTCATCCTTGCACTGAAGAACCCGTAGGACGTAGACCACAATTTTGCATGACATGTTCGTGTGGACAAAGTCGACGGTGTTGGACAGAAGGGAAGGATGTAAAAAAGTCAAGATATTTTTGTTTCAGAGACTTGGGTAGAGGAGGAATAGAAGGACTCTTTCGAGTTGACATGACGGTGACATGACGTGACTCTTTGTAGATAAGGGACGTGGATCCAGAGATTGCAGCAGGATATAAGCCGTTGGAGCCTGAGATCCCAATTGGACCTCTCCCGGGACCAGGTCCCATTCCCGTACACGATGCAAGCCACCAGGAAGACTTTAACGTTGGCTCGGGATTCCGTCCCTTGAAGCGGCCAGTGCCGCCGCTTCCACCCCCGAAAGCGGGTCCGCCAGACGGCTTCTTTGACGACTTCGCAGGGACGTCCAAGTTCCCCGACTTCGACACGTTTGACGAACCGAAGAAGACTCTGAAAAAGCCTTCTAACCTTCTGCCTCCAATCGGGAAAAAGCCTCCTCCCCTTCTACCTCCAATCGGGAAAAAGCCTCCTCCCCCTCCCCCCCCGCCTATTTCCATTCCGCCATCAGCTCCGTCGGGTTCGGGACCGGAGGACGAAAAAATCTACCTTTATCCCACGACCAATCACAAACATCCGGACAAGTATCACGAACATTCGGTGAAAGTCCATTCTCATCCCCCCGACGTGTTCGAGTATCCGGATGGGAAAAAGGAGTTCGTGCATCACCACTACTATGACCATTTTTACACGCATTACCATGCGCCACCGGTGGGATCCGCGAGTGGATCGGCGTCCGCTCCGGCCCTCAGGACTGAGCCACCCCCTCACGCCAGCACTCTCAATGAGAAGAAGATTCAAGCGACATCAACGACTGCGCGAAACCCCACTAAAGACAAAGCCAAGACCGAAGAAGGACCGATCAAGAAAATGGTCGGGTGGATTCGAGGCTGAAATGAGCGCAAAAAGACTACCTACCTAGCCATTTTGGGTTCCGAGGAACGTCCGTGATATGTTTTTGACTGACGAGACCGTTTGACTTTCATTTAACCATTTGAGACCCTGTGCCCACTTGAGGACGAATTGAGGATGAATTTCCACAAATTTTCAGCAGTTATTTATATTCTCAGCCTTCTCACAGATTTGCAACATGTCATGTTAACACATTGTCTCTGCTTTGGGTTTTTAAAATTTTCATTAAATTTGAGCGAAAGTTTGTTGCTAGGTTGCTGGGAACTCAGCATGGTATCACTGCAATCGCAAAACAGGCTCATTGCCACTCAAATAGGATTTCTTCTTTTTGGTTAGAAAAGGAGAAAAGAGCATACAATTGGACAAAATGCGGTAGACATGTGTTGCCCAAAGCATGTCTGGAGGACGAGAAAGCAATAACTTTTTTTTAAATTTGCTTTGGAAATTCTTCTGAGCTTTTAAATTCTCATTTTTACTCTTGAAAATAATTAACCTAAGGTTCATTTATTTATTTTTGTATTCCTCTTTGGACAGAACACAAAACAGCAGATCCCAAACTTCATCCGAAGCCGGGTCTCAAACGGTTAAAACGTGAATGAGTGTTGTAGTGAAAGTAGCAGAAAACTGCTGTGCAGTCTGCAAGCGAACGAATGTGTGGAAGGAGGGCCTTTCCTCCCCTCTCTTCCCCTCCCTCCGAGCCGCTGGCGCAAGCCTGGAACTCTCGATGCAGTTCGTCGAAACGTGCCACTGACTCGGTATGAATGGAGACTCGGAAAGCCAAAGGAACCCCCCTGTCTCCCTCCGTTGGTGTTAGTAGATGTACCTTTCTCGAGGCATATCAAGCCATTCCCCTTCCCTTAATTTTTCTTCTGCCCCCGGGAACCGCTCGATCGTTAAGTTTTCCTGCTGTTTCCTACCACAACGCTTATTTGGGGAAGCCCCACCTTTCAAAAATCATGAATGCCCTGAGATATTCTTTTTTATGTGAAACGTTCATCGATAGATGGGATAGAAGAATGTGCTGTACTTCTTACAATATTGTGTTTTTGTTCATTCTTCTGCGGCATGATTCGAGGGTCGATGTCCAGACCGACCATAAAAAGTGGGTCATATTCTTCGACTAGTTCGCCAGACCTCTTTCGAAATCAGAGCCCCGGTCTTTGTTGTCAGCCGTAGCTCCCCGATTCCCGAACGATGGCAGGTCATATAAGGAATAGATTTCATTAGGAAACTTATTCCTGGATAGTTCCAAAGTTACTGACGTAACACCAGACTCAAAATGAAAACATGCGATGGTTCGGTCCAGAAATTCTACTTCAACAGTGCCTCATAGAGCATAGATATCTGTACTAATTCCCGCCAAAATTTTCTCATTTCTCCCATGGATGAAAAAGAGTAAGGTCATTCATGTCGTGTTACTGACGTAACACAGTTTAGTCAACGGTTTTCGTTCTGCTCCAATTCTTTATTTGGTCTGACTCGAAGCTTCCATATTTTCAGGAAGGAAGGCATAGATGGCACCTTTCTCCATGCCAAATGACATTTATAGTTGCTCAAAAATTAATTGGCTAGGAGAATTTTCCAGCGTTACTGACGTAACAAATTAGTCAAAAAGCGAGGTTCACCAAGCAAGTGTTAAATTCATAAAAATGGAATGGTGCAGGAGTACTGAAAAACCATCATAGGTCTGGTGATGAATGTTTAGTGGAGCTTATTTGGTTCAAGTTTCGTATTCATACAGTGCAGGAAAAGCAAGTTAGATGACATTTTTGTAAATCAAAGTTTCACCACTTTTGTCCCAATCACTCTGAATTGCCTTCCTCTATAATACAGGTATATACTGTATTACTTGGGCGACACGCTCATTGCTGAACCAGAACCGGATGGACTTGGTACCGTGTTGCAGCTTAGGACATAGGCACAGCTATCGAACTTGATTTTGCAAGACCCTCATTTGTTTACCCTTCGTACCTCCCCCCCCCCCCCCTCCGATCCCCAAAAAAATGTAAAAATAGGGTTCCGAAGTTCCGACCGATTTTCTGAATGAATGGAGTAAAACGGCGCACAGGATAAAAGGGGCCTGAGATTTCCTCGCATCCATTGAGCTCATTGTCACATCCTAAGGGCTTCAAGAATTATTAACCTCTTCAGGGATACTGGCACAAATGTGGACGTTTGAGTCAATGCAATTTAAATTGGTCAAGAACTGATCACCAACTGCTCAGATGCCACAGATGTTGCCAATTTGTTGGAAGTTTTCATTGCAGTCCGTATCACTGTTCTCACAGCTTGCAAAGTACTCTAAACCGGAAATTTTTTTTTTTCGTATAAAAAAATTCATCCCCGAAGAGGTTAATTTCAATAGCTGTACTGAACCGGAATTTTTATCCGCAGCCTTTATGCAGGCTCCTTGCCTTGAGTTTCTGCAGACAAATATTTTCAGAATGAGCCTCCAGAGAGAAATTCAGAGAATTCAGAGAAAGTCACTATGAACCGTACCATTTCACGAAGCAGATAGGGCGACGTTTGTATCGGATAATTGGATCAAATATTTTCCCGTTCGTTGTACCGAGTTCCACCTATTTGCTAAGAGGAAAATTGCTCTTAATCAAATATAAGAATACGGCCCAGATCCCCCCAGATGTCCTAAAAATGGGCGGATGAGAGATACGAGGTGAAATGGAGAAAATGTGAGTTGGCGATGGGAACCCCCGCTTATTTGACACAAAACCAAATGTTCCCACTCCTGATTTCTTTCATGATGAACCACATTAATCTCAGCACATATTTCATTAAATTTTTTTTTCAAGATGTGATCTCTGGTCCCTATTTTCCTCGCTTCGTGTGACCTGTGGCCATTTCCAGCCATCCCGCTCGTGAATATAGCCCTTGCTTTTCCTATGTTTCCTCTGGATCCCGCGCCGTGAAAATATCGCTGAAAAGCACTAATCATCTTCGAATGAGTGCGAAACGCCCTGGCGATTCGTAGGATTTTCGTAATTGATCCAGGTAACATACAAAGGTTCATGCAGTCTTTTTGAGCGCTCCTTTTTCAGTTTAGACTGGTTTCTAGGCAAGCGATTCCATTTCTTTCCCTTCAAAGTCTCTTGATGTGATGAAACTTTATTCCAATAATTTTTTACATGTCGCGTACCCGTCGATCTAAATTTAAATACTGATTCTTAAATCAGATTTTCGAGGATGTAAGAGCTTCTCTGGCTTTTTTTTAATTATAAAGAGAAATTCAGATGCCGGTTCTAGTAAGATTCTTCATAGTAAGTCTATGATAAAGAAGAGCGTCAAACTCGAAGGATAGAGCAAGTTTGCCTCATTCCGACCAAGAATCAACACAAGACACGACAGAACGAAAAGATCTCGTACAATCGAGCCGGCGAAGGGGCTCAAACTCGGAAAGGCTTTCGGAAAAAGATCCAACTCCCGATTCCGCCATGCTTTCAACTCGCTCCGAGGCAGATCCCATCTCATCCCCAGATCCCATCTCATCCCAAGATCCCATCTCATCCCAAGATCCCATCTCATCCCCGACCCCAGAGCGCACTGCTTCGAGCAATTGGTTCCAGAGATGCCGAAAAAGGCGAAGGGGATGCGTTGAAAGTGACAGTCTCCATACATCGCATCGGCGGTTCCAATCTATGATCACAAGAACGAAAGACTTCCCCCTTTTTATGCGAGCACATACCGCGTGGAATACCTATTTCCTCTAATTGATCGAACTAGCGTGATCGATGATGTCCACTACCGTAACGATGAGATGAAAAGAGGTCACTGTGATCCGCAATCAAACATGCGGAAACGAGAGCCTGGCTAAACCTGCGCTGCATAGGGTAATTTGGGGGAATATGGCCCTACAAAATGAAACCTGGTCATAACGGCCCATCAAGGTCGAATTGGACTTTTACAATGTTTCTAAAATACTGATTCATATCTCCTTTACTAAATGCCAGCAAGGCACATGCAAAAAACTGCATGGATATTGCGTCATTGGATCTTGCCCAAGTCGTTCCCAAGAGGCCATATTACCCATGTTGTTGGGGGAATATGGCCAAACTTCTCAAAAAACAACTCTAGGTTTTCCAGATACGTGTGAAACATGCTGGAACATGCTGAGTACCTAACTTGAAACATAATAATGTAGGCTCAGCAGTTGAAAATAAAAACATTAACTGCATTGCGGACTAGCAAAGAAGTCGAAATCATTACCTGACTCAAGGACCTGTTGTGGAAAGCAGGATTGAAACGCTATTGGCTTTGAGTAGCTTTGCACGTGATTGGGAGACTGTATCGAGAGACTGTGGGTCTGAGATGAGTGATCAATCATAAATTAAAGAGAACATGCGTTACGAGCGTAAAATAAGAGGTCTTACATTGCAGGAAAAACGTTGCTTAGTTTTTGCATGTATGCATAAATAGTGACAAAAAAATCAGAATGCCCTTTTACCTTTTTGTACGAGGGATATTTACTTGCATGCTAATTTCGTGCTACGAAAATTTCTGGAGTATGTCAAGCGGATGTCCAGGAGACGGTGCATGAGCATATGCTCATGCACCGCCTCCTCACGTACTGCATATTCCGTCCAGATGTCCAGTACTTCTATCCATATATCCATAGGAAGTGCATTGGATGATCTTTCGCAGCCTGAGATCCCACACGAAAGGAAGTTGACACTACCAATAGGTCAGTGCAGTGCTAACATGAAATGAAGGATGTGTCCATATTACCCCAAATCGAGATGGCGGTATTCCCCCATATTGACTTGAATGATAAAATTGACAACAGTCCGCAAACCGCAAGTGAAGGGGCTAGCACTTTGCACAAGCATTCTGGAGGGACCAAGAACTTTGGAAGAAATGGTTTCTGTGTCCATGCTGCTATATGGAAATACACACTTAAGTTGCTCAAGGCTCATATTAGTTTCGGGGTCATGAGTCAAAGAATCGCATGCATTTGACTTTCAAGACATCGATCTATCCCGAATTCCTGGGAGAACTGGATCGATGAACAGGTCTAAACATTTCGACAATTGCATGTGCTCTTCGATAGAACGATTTTTTTTTTAATTCGCACAAACAAATCGTTCAGTCTGTAAGGGGATTCATTGCGGAGAGCCATATTCCCCCAAGTTACCCTACCACACGAAGAGAACGCGATTCTGCCAAAGCTCTTTCGAATCTCAAATCCCACAAAGCCGTACAGAAGAATTCCTTTGAGACACCCCGTGGCGAGAGTTTCCGGTCGCGAGATCCCGAAAGTACGCGAAAGGTCATGCGACGAGGCACAACACGACGTTCGAATTTGCAAATTTTGTGGAGATTTCGAGGAAGGACCCCTTCGAGTCCCATGGCAGAAGACGACTGGACGACATCGATCAGGGGTGCAGACGAGTCTCGGGACTCCGACGGAGCGGTCGCATTCGCTGCGAATGCCTTGTCACGACTCTCACAGCGACAGCATGGAATGAAATGTTTCTGAGGGAGGGAGGGGAGCGGGGGAGAGGAGGGGAGGGGGGGGGGGGGGCGTGGATATGCGAGCTGTAGCCGCTTGGGGGAGGTGAAGGGAACAGGCCTTTTTCCGAAATACAATAAAATATATATATACTGTATATCCATTTTCCTGAGATATGCTGAGTTCTTTTATTCATCCGAAAAATCGGTAGTGTCATTTTAGTTAATTCCATGAAATCATGGACTGATCCCCACCTTCTAGGATCACAATATTCGGGAAATTTTTTTTTTTCTCCTTGTAGTACTCGATATTCCAGCTAAAATCTAAAGCATCTAACAAATATCCGACTAGAGAAACTCAATGTCATCAGAGTCCAAATTGCTCAAACTGTTCATTGCAAAAATTTCCCTCGACGTGCATACAAGTAAAGCACAACGAGGAAAAGGTACGTTTAGTACATTATCTTCGGGAAGCTCGTTCAGAGGACTTAGGAACCATTCTCTCTTTGATACACCTTGACGTATGAGCATTGTGGTTGCTTTCGCTTTCTCAGACGTTCGATCAGACTACTCCGCGTGAACCACTTTTTTTTTGGAGTCAAGATGACCAAGCCCCCCAAAAAGCTCGACACGTTTACGATCCCCATCTCTCATTAACGGCCGTCTTCAAGTAGCACTCCCGGATTTGCAAGTCGAGCGAAATCGGTGGGAAGCTCGAGTTCGTGCCCGGAATCCATGCTGCGGGCCAGCCCGCGTGCAAAATCGAGAACGCTTTCGGATGCTCTCCTTTTTTTTTTGGACGGTGACGTCACGGAGACAGATGGCCGAGACCGCGAACTCGGTTTTGTGTGTCACGCTGCTCGTCCCGTCGCCTGGCGTCGCGTCGCCTGGCGTCGCGTCGCCTGGCGTCGCGTCGCCTGGCGTCGCGTCGCCTCGCGTCGCCTAGCGTCGCGTCGCCTCGCGTCGCGTCGGGCAGAGGCTGGACGGCAGTCGCGCGAGGGAGTCGCTTCCCGCCGCCGGCTTACACTTGCTGCGCTCGGTGGAGAGTCCATTTCGGTCGTGGAAGGAAGGAACCGGGAGGATTTCACGAGGAAACATTTCTTGCATTTTGAAGACCGAGGAGGAAACGGCTTCGTTGCAATTGAAGATTTTCGCTCCACAGCCAACGCTTCGCGCTCTCGGCGCTTAGGAAGGAAAATTCAGACGTATTTCGCCGGTTGGGTGTGGTCGAAAGCGACAGAGAGCGAGGACCGTCGGAAGCGACAGAGAGCGAGGACCGTCGGAAGCGACAGAGAGCGAGGACCGTCGGAAGCGACAGAGAGCGAGGACCGTCGGAAGCGACAGAGAGCGAGGGCCATCAGAATTTGTTCTCAAGAGGTTCTCCGACGCGAGACGGAAAATCCCGGAGTGAATATGACTTTCTTTGAATTAGTTCCGGACCCATGGTTCGGGGGACTCCCGCCGTGTCGCGTTTTCATTCTCGAGGCCGGTCGGTCCTTCCGAGTCTCGAAGGGAAAGGGCGTCTCCGTTTCCGGATCGCGGAAGGATGGCGAAGACGAACGGCTGGAATTTAATTCGCTCCACCGAGCGATCGATGCAGGATTTCCTTTTGTTTTCTCCTTTGCTTCCGTGTCGGCGGGACGGATCTGGTCTCGTTCCGCTTCCCGGCCGCGCGACTCGCGTCCGCGCCGCAGCGGAAACTCCGGAATCGGTTCGGAATCGGGGATCTGAAAGTACGCGTTCCGGAATCTTTCTGCTTCCTGGTGTCGGCAAGACGCATAGAGATCCCAGAGGGAAAGAAAAAAAAAGTATCGAACGATCCGAGGAAACGAAGTTCCACCCTGACGAGTCTCGGTAAAGGGGATCTGCCTTCTGGGATTAACACTAATCACAAGATTATTACTAATCACAAGTTTATCCCCATAAGCCTCTAGAGCAGATTTCTTTGGAATAACTTCTGGGGGAGACGAATGGAACGGAACTTTTTGCAACCGGCCAAACTTTCTTTAACGGAACTCTTTCAACGAACACTTTGCAAACATGACGAAAAAAAATGAACTCACGAAATCTACGGAACAGACGGGGAAATACCCTGGGGCTATGACGTCACATTTCCGGTCGGATTTTTCCTTGCCCTAGAAAAAAATGAAACGGTGCCACCACGAGGAAGGTTCTCGTACAAAAACCTCAAATAGACTAAATTCACCTGAGCACCTCATAGTCAAGGTCAATAATTGGCATATTTGCTCAAGATGTCAACAAAGTAAAAGGTATGGGTATCTTGAAAGCAAAAAAAAAAGCCAGACTTCGACAACTTGCAAAATTACACACATTAGTGGGTGTGGCAAAAGTTTGGTGACAGATGTTACGATGTGTTACAATTTAATTGTGAAAAATTTTACATTTCTGTGAACGCAGTTTTGTTTGTCTCCTTCTTAGCCACTTTGTTAATATTTATCGTTTTCTGCCCCATTTTATTTTCCCCCCTGTTATTATGGATAAAAAGAAATAGTTTTTCAACAGTCACAAAACTTTTGCCTCACCCTGTAGCTTGGGGCCGCCACATCGTCCAACTTCACGAAGGCCAAATTTTAGCTGGATTCTCTCGACGCGGTCGATGCCCCGTTGGAAAATGACCGATTTCATATTTTCGCTTCCGGCCGTGTCTTTTGGTGCGCTGGACCACTGCGAACTGCCTGCGTCACCAGACGATGGAGTTTTACGAGTTACGCGAACCGTCGCTTTCTGGCGGTGCTTCCGGTGGGTTCCATCCCCCCCCCCCCCCCCCCCCCCCCCCCCCCCCCCTTCAACCCCTTTTCCTCGTGTCGGCACGAACGGCAGCAGGACCTACGACGTGAGCCGGCTTCTGTTGCCTTTTTGAAAGGCACTGCCTCCATTTTTTCCATATGCCAAAGTGGAGCTCCTCCGAGGAAAAGCGTGGGAATAACTTCGGGTTTCGGCTTTCTCCCCTTCGGTTCACTTCAGCACACCGAGAAAAATCGCAACTGAAACCGCACGGCGCCCGTCTCCCCTCCTCCATTCTCCCCCCCCCCCTTCCCCCCTCCTCCTCCTCCTCCTCACTCGACGGGACAGAAGCTCCCCTCTCGTCGTGGGTGTCGCGGCTGCAGCGTCCTGGAAGTCGTCCATGGGGCTTTCCGCTCTTCGATTCCGTCCCTCGTCGTGTCGGTGAGACAAACACGCTCTGCGGAGCGGCTCATGGCTCATCCGAGGATCATATTCTAAGATTCTACGCTTATCATTAGGTTTACCGCGATACCATTTCGGGCGTAAAGGTTACTTTTTCACGCGTTAATGGAACTGTTGGGCAAAAAAATTGGGTTCGGTACCGTTCGATACCGACGAACCTATGGGAGCACGATCGAGACACACGTTGTCATCTCGGGATCTTTTCTTTCGCACAAGAGTGCAATAATTAGCCGACGTAACGCTCACCATTGATCCTAAATTCTCGCAGCTTTCGCTAACGGGCTGCTTGTCAATTTTTCAATGGGAATTACTTTCCCCTTTCATTGGTCCTACTTTTAGTCTTTTGTTCGGTCATAGACGCTAACGAAAGGCCCACCCATGTTCTCCCACTAATCAAGGCAAGCCCCGTTTCCTCGATACTCAGAACGTACCTGTCAGAGCTGCTCACATTTGCGGCACGGTACTTCATTCCCCCCCCCCTCCCGAAAGAGGCGCGGCTAACGACACATCACGTGTCCAAGTCGGTCCGGCAGTTTTTTTATATTTGGCATCAAGCTGTAAGTACTTTTCGACACTTCGAGCACTAGTAGTATCAGTAAGCTTCAAAAACAGTCATTCTAGGGTTGACGAAAAATTCGGAACATGCCTCATCTCCTTGGATCGTTTGCAGGATCCAGAAAGTACTTTACAGAAAGTACTTTCTGTACCACATTCAGTATGGAATTCAGTACCCTAGGAGCACCAAAAGTCACTCCAACAGAGAGACGATTCCATCCGTATCGCGTATAGGCCTATTTCGATTGGTTCACGAGTTTCGTTCTGCGAGCTGCATCGAACGCGGCCCGATGAGGGAAAAGGACGAACGAGAGGACGAAGAGAAATTCCCTCAAGGTTTGGACTTTTATGGAGGCGCTCGCCCGTGGCGAGTGGAATTTAGTGCCTTCGGAGAATTTGGGGAGGAGAGAGGGAAGCCCGCCGACCTCCGAGTTCCCGGCGTCAGATTCCAAGAGGATTCTAATTGCGAGGCGATCGCCGATTCCGAGCGTCTCTTTGGGTTCTCGTGACTCGATCGCTACGAAGACTCGTTACTCGTTCGCTGCGAAGATTCGCAACTCGATCGTGAACTCAATGACCCCTGCTTGTGGCGGACGGTGTTGGGAAAGTTCTTCAGCAGTTGATTAATGCGCCGGAGCGAAAGTAATCAACTATCGCGATCGGATTGCTCTCCTCCAATCGTAATCCGTAATCAGATTACGTTTGGATTACTTTTTGGCCGGCCTGCCTAAATCTCGGCCAAACAGATTCGAAAAGGTCCAAGGAGTGTTTTACGGTCTCGAATCACCTCGTCACTGGCGAGGAAGGAATAAACGGAAATAAAATCGTACAAAATCGCAAGCAAAATAAGAACGTCTGCAAGAAAGGAATCAATGAAGAGTATTCTTGTTACTTTTCCACGAAAAAAATTCCACCCGATCCCGGATGGAGATTTACATCAGACGAAAAGTAATCGGTTTAGTCATACACAACTGCAGAAAGTCATCCGATAATAATAACGGCTGCAACCGTAAACAATAGCCCCCGCAAGAAGGAAATGTTGCGAAGCGAGACCGGATGAAACAAGAGAAAGTCGCGAACCGCATGGAATCGAGTCGCAATTCGCCGGTGCGCGACGTTGATCTCGTGGTGTAACGGGTTTCCATAGAAAGGATCTGATGGTCTTGGAGATGGGAGCGAACAGAACCACTCTGCAAGGAAAAAAAAAAACTATAACACACTGGCACATTTTCATGTTGCGATCGCGAGTTCGCGAGGACGAAACCTCACGAAAGGAAACCGGTCTGCATCTGGCTCTTGTGTCCTTTTCCACAAAAGTTTTTTTTTTGCATCGGCGCGGATCGGAATGCCCGAAGGCGAGGAGAGCGACAAGTTTTCCTTTCCGTCTCCTTTATTTAAGAAGTCGGACCGGCACGCGGCGTGTCATTTCGTTGCTCTTGCGGTTCCGATCATGTTGTGAGTCTCCCTTCTGCGTTCTTTTCCTCCGAGGCCTTCCTCGTTTGGCCGCACGAGGCCATCTTTCAGCCGTCCTTTTCCTCGTCGTAGGTTGACGTTGATCCTGTCCGGGTTCCTGTTGGTTCATTCGTCTCTCGGAGCGTCGTCCGCGAAACGTCGGCTCCGTGCCGGTCTCAGGAACGAGAGCCTTCCTCGGGTGAGTCTCCGTCTCCCGTTTCCGCTCCCTTCTCGGTATCGCCGAAAGATGTCTCTGGGTCTTCTGCATCTGTCGTGCAGCCACCAGTCGTTTCGGAAAGGTCACTGGACGGATCGGATGACCTCGGAGACGAAACTTGCGCCCTCATCGTTTCCGGTCCGACGTCTCTGGTCGACCTTGCAGACAACGCCTTGAACAGCGTGGACGGTCACGACGGCGACCGGGCGTGCATAACTTTCGGTTCCGTGAATCGAGCTTTCACTAAGGCCAGGCAACGTTTCGGTCTCCCGGCCGCCCATCGAAGGGAATTAGATAGTAACGAAGTCGGCGCCATCGGGAAAGTCCTCCTGGAAACCACCCGCATCATCGCCCATCGGTGAGCCCTCACTTCCTTACGATTCTTCCTCGAATGAGCACCGAATCGTCACGCGGTCGAATCGAACAGGTACGGTCTGGCGCCCGACGCGATCGTGAATGGCTTGCCGTTGATCGACACGACCAAGACCGTCGTCGGACAGTACTGTCCGTACTGGCTGAAGAAGCCCGAATGCGAGAGCAAGAGGTACCGAGAGTACAACGGACTGTGTACGAATCTCGAGAATCCTCACTGGGGTGCCACCAGGACCACCTTCAAGAAACTCATCGCCCCTGCTTACCCAGACGGTGAGTGAAGGTTCGAGACTCTCGTGACCTTGGAGACGAGCGATCTCATCCAACCGTCGCGTTCCGATGGAACCACCGAACGAACCGCCCCATATCTTTCTCCATCGCCACCCTTGACGTCCCCGTGGGGCAACGGGTGCTTGAATCCAGACTATTTTTTGTTGTTCTTTTGGATACAGGCGTGGACGCCGTGCGGGCGGCGAGCGACGGGAGCCCTTTGCCACCGGTGAGGCTGGTGTCCACAGCGATTCACGGGGACAAGGGGCACCACGACCATGCCGCCACCTTGATGCTCGTCGCCTGGGGCCAAGCCATCGACCACGACATCACACTCACGGCGGAAACTAAAAGTGAGACGGTGACCTTTCGAAGGTGCTCTGCGCCGGGCTTCTCCTTTCTCTTTTAAAAGGTTTCTCCACGCTAAAAAAAAAAAGAGTATACGAATGGAGTGAAGTGCCTACGAGGCAAGGGAAAATGTTAGGTTTGGCGAAGTCCTGCCTGACCGTTTGGCCGTTTGCCCTTTGGCCAGCAGTCGAAAAGAGGGAAGGAAAAAAAGGGGGAGGATCGTACGATAGTTGACGCCCTGCCTAGAGGCAGCACGGGACGTCACCAAGCATTTGTTCTTCGGCCTATTCCTATAATTCACTTTGAATTAAGGTGGAGAAAGCGAAGTATGAATGGAAAAATGTAACGGCCCTCGCCCGGAACGGCATATGCGAATATGATACCGTTTGCGGAACGTCCGTGCCCCTCTCGAACCGGAAGGGGTCGAGGACGGGTCAGCGAGGATTTGCACCTTCGTTTCTGCCCTTGTCGGTTTCGCAACGAGACACGTGCAGCCCGAACGGTCAGCAGATGGGAGTAACGACCAGCCGGGTATGACTCGTGTTCGTCACGAGTCTGTCCGTCGGGTCTCGTCCCTTGCCGTTCCGTTCGAGGTTCTTTCGGCGCCGTCCCGGTAAAGGGAATTTCCTCGGTAGAAAACCTGGACTCGTTCGCCGAGCGAGAACTCGATTAAAGGGTAATTTTCGTTTCTGGCCGGTCTCCAATTGTTGGCCGGTGAGGCTCAGATCCAGCATGATTAGTTTATTTACCCGTTTTCAAGCATTCTATCATGTTCCCGTACGAGGACCTATTATTAGTGTTTCCTGGTGTGCGTACAGGGTGTCCAACTATGGGAGGAAGTATCAGCGTGGTCAAAAACGGGTGTTGACTCGACTGGCCGTGTAATGGGCGGAAATTTGAAAATGTTTGCTCAACGGTATAAAGCAGTTCAGATTTTTTATTAGAATAGCATAGCCTTGTAGGCCTTGCGTTTTAGGCCGCGGATGAGTGACAACCATTCACCACAGACTTCGGCTTCTTTCAATATTTATGGCCTAGCCTATGGCCCAGAATGGAAGAGCCTTGTAGGCCTCGCGCTCTAGGCCGAGGATGGTCATGGCATCGCAGGCCTCGCGCTCTAGGCCGAGGATGGTCATGGCATCGCAGGCCTCGCGCTCTAGGGGGTGACAGCCACCACAACTTTTCGCGTCTTTCAATTAAAGTATTAAAAGATTAGATATTGGATAAACGGATTTCACGGTCTAGTATAAAGGAAGTACGTCTTGAGAATTACTGTCGCCCGTAAGGGATGTTAGGCCCCTCGTTAAGGACCTTTTGGGGCTTGGTGGCAGCCACCCGTAAGGAACGGCCTTCCACTTTAGAGGGAGACGAAGGGCACGAACGAGGATGAACTCGACGGCCGTGCCATCTGTCGTTCACCCCTGGTGCTTCTGCTTGGTTCAGGAAAACCAACATTTCCATGTAACTGACGTAGCATGCATCATTCCAACGCACTTGGAAAGAGAGTGAAATGAAAGTATTTATTGTCCTCTCCGACCCACTTTCTCGGGACGCTTACCATAAACCTACTATAAATTGAAGTTGAGCCCACTAGGGGGAGACCTCTTTTTTAGCCGGAGCCATTTCCCCTCGTGGCATTTGTTTCACGTCCAGACAAGGTGTGAGGGAAGAAATCCACATAAATTCCCCCTCCGTCCTCTTTTTTTTTTTTTCAGACTTCGTCAGCAAACTTTCTCCTGTCCAGTCTTTTTCTACGCGCAATTCTTGCCTTTCTAAGCCCAGTCGTAAATTCTCATCGTATCGTCGTATACGATAAAATCCGTTCACTTGCGAAGCACGCCAAACGGAAACTGGATGTCCGCAGTCCCCTCCTCGTAAACTGATCCGATTCCAGCATCTCAGTTAAGGTCAAGTCCAAAGGTTCGAAGTGGCAGGTCGGATAGCCAACAATTTTTTTTCTCGTGTGTTGCAGATGAGAAACGCTGCGAAAAGGACTCGTACTGTGCAATCTTACATGCATTTTATGTACTCGAATACGAAACACTTCAAACTACAGCTTCCAGGCCGGATTTGTCACCCCGAATTTAAGAAATGACACTCATTGTGGGTAAGACAGTAATTCCACGACAGAAAAATGTAAGGAAAAGTCATTTCTCAATTGAGTAACTTTCAATGTTAGAAATAAAATAAAATAAAATAAAATAAAAATATTTAAAAAAAAAGGTTAAAATTAAACAAATTCGGCTGTTTTTTTTTTTCCTGGCTTCTACCATTCGAACAGGAATTCACGAAGAGGTTATTGTTGACCCTCTGCAAATCTCGAAAATGATTCTTTCCCTCCCCCCAATTTGAGGAACCAGAATCGCGTTGCATTGCTTTATTTAAATATTCACTCTGGATATACCTCGCCGGAATTGAAGAGAAAAGGAAGGAAAATTAAGATAGTGTTGAGAGTAGGCGTGGGTCTCGATACGACTCATTTAAGGCTCAACCAAGCTGAACCACTCGAGAATGCTCCCATATGTTCCCATGTGCCTTTAACGAGGGAGTGGTGGGAAGGGGGGGGGGGGGAAGCACTTTTCCCTGATTTCGCTCTAATTCCCCCTTGGAAGTTAGGCGGACTCATTTATATTTCACCCCTCCGCAATGAGGCAGAAAGCATCGAGATGCTTGCCCGTTAAATGAGAGACCCGGACAAAAAAATGTGGAATGAAGTCGGGGAAACGCAGCCCATTGCCGCCAATCAAGTTTGTATCCTCGAGTCTTGGCATTTTTGGAAAATGCAATTTATCCATCATGTACGACTTAAAGAAACATTAACCGGTTTAGTACGGTTTTGTCGCCCGTGCAGATGAGCAAAACAAGGACCCAGAATGCTGCAAGCGCCAGGATCACGAGGACTGTCTCCCGATCTGGATCCCGGACGACGATCGCTTCTATTCCCTGTTCATGCAGCGATGCATGAACTTCGCCCGGTCCCTGCCGGGCCCCCGCTATGCCTGCAAGCTGGGGCCGAGGCTCTCCTTCAACATGATCACCAGTGTGCTCGATGCCAACTGGGTGTACGGAAGCACGAAGGAGGTGGCAAAATCCCTCCGGAGCTTCCAGAAAGGTCAGATGAAAATGTTCCCCATCTTCGAGGACTTCGGGCTCAAGGAACTTCTCCCGTTGAAGATGAACGAGCCGGACGATGGCTGCATTAGACCCAGGCAGGACATGTTTTGCTTCCACGCCGGTGAGTAGCAGAATGAAATGAGGAATGAATTCGATCGTGAAACTGAAGCATTTTAAATATTTCAAGACGATCGAGCCGGTCTTGTTATTTTTCAGGTGACAATCGAGTGAACGAGCAGGTGGTCCTAGCCGTGGTTCATACCATGTTCACTCGGTATCACAACATCCTGGCTGAGGTATTGACTCGAGTCAATCCGCACTGGGACGACGAGACGGCTTATCAGGAGACTCGACACATCATGGCGGCCATCGTCCAGCACATCACCTACAACGAATTCCTCCCCATGGTCCTAGGGAAAGAGGTGATGGAGAAATACGACCTGGTCCTGGAGGAAGACGGGTATTTCGACGGGTACGACCCGAAGATCAATCCCTCGGCTAGCGACGCCTTCATCACGTCGGCTTTCCGATTCGGACACTCTCTTCTCCCGTCGACGATCGAGAGATGGTCCACGACTCACAAGTATATCGGGTCTCAGAGGCTGAATGGCATGTTGAGGCAGCCGTACGACCTTTACAAGGGTGGGTGGTGCGACCAGTACATATGCGGCCTTGTGAACCAGGTTGCTCAAGCCATGGACGATTCCGTCACGGAAGAGGTAAGATCTAAAAAAAAAAGAGAAAATTGTGCGATTCACAAGGGAATTTAGTATTTCCCCCTAAAATTTTCCACCCCAAAGGTGATTTGTTTCCCGCGGTCCCGATGTTCAAGTTTCATCCATAACGGTCCGGTCATCTTTAAAAAGAAAAAAAAAACATGCGGATCTAAATTGCTTGCTTTGGCGAAATTCGCAGCAGTGTGCTCCAGAGGGGGGAGCTGGAAGCCCTCAAGCGCCTTCAGTGCTTCCCCCCTCTCCGAATCCCGCTGACTAATGCGAAGTTAGACATTAGCTTGTTGCTATGTTTCAGTCAACGGCAAATTAATTTTGAAGAGCCAAATGTTGCAATATTTCACTGCCTCTGACGATTTATTCCTTGTTTTTGAAAAACTTGAAAACTAGAGTCCAATGACAAGTTTCTTTGCAAATGGCACATTGCTCTTCAAACTTTCAAGCGAGCGATTTTTTATCTAGAACCGTGGACTTGCGATTTTTATATAAAGAGATTTCCTACGATAGGGTTTCTGGTAACAATCGGATCAGAGTACACAATAATGCACATTTTAGCCTCCCTCTCATGGAATCCAATGGCATAACTTCTAGGAAAGCTTTTTTAAAAATCAAAACGTTTGTGGAAATGCCTGTAATTATTAGGTATGTCCACCAGTATTTTTCTTACGTGCTTGCAATAGTGAGGGATAAGATCGAAAATTGAAGGGGGTTCAGTCAGTCGTTTTCCTGAGCGCAACAGTGAGTTGCTTGCCTGGAAAACGAGTGGTCTTTATACCCATAAAGCAACCCATCGAAAAAACGTATTAGATGTATTTAAAAAAAAAACCAGCTTGTATGTGGCTCGTGCAAGAGCATGAGAAAGCCTACAAGGAGAAAAGTTTTCCTTAAATGAACTAAGATGGCAAAATTTGGCTTTTTAAATTTAACATTAGTTTCACGCAACCGCAACAAGCTGAAATCGAGCTTTTATACAGGGTTATTGATAAGTGTTGGAATGTTTCCAAAGCTGATCGTTACCATGTTACCATGCATCCCACTGCTCGAAATGCTAACGTGAATTGCCTTTGTGAGTTAGGAAAGATGCATATTTATCGCATTTGCAGGATTCACAGGATAAATCGGATTCAGTACTTCAGCCCATAAGTATCGATCCATCGAGCGTGACTATAGCTGTTCGTAAAAATATACGTTAATTTTTTCCCCGCGAGTGCTAACTTTCGGGGCTGCATGACTCGGACTGTTGAAGCTAGAGCGCTAAAGTTATGACATTCATGATGCTGTTGTAGGTGACGAATCACCTGTTCCAAGAACCGAGCAAAAGGTTCGGTATGGACCTGGCGTCGTTCAACATGCAACGTGGGCGAGAGCACGGCGTCCCGGGCTACGGCGCATACCGGAAATTCTGCGGTTTGCCTCCGGTGAAGACGTGGTATGATCTGGCCGCCTGGATGCCAAATGACACGGTGAGGCGATACTCCGAGATCTACAGGAGCCCGGCAGATATCGACCTGTGGTCGGCGGGGATCTCAGAGCGACCGCTGCCAGGCGCCATGGTGGGACCCACTCTCGCCTGTCTCATTGGTCTCCAATTCCGGGATCTCCGGCTCGGAGATCGGTTCTGGTACGAGAACAGCGGATGGCCCAGCTCCTTCACCATCGGTACGGTTTCTTTCCCACTTCCATTACCATACGATATTGGATCACGTTCAACATGTGTATGTTGCGATGTGGTTTCAGAACAATTGAACGAGATCAGGAAGATCAAGCTATCCCGAATCGTGTGTGACACTAGCGACGACATGCACGAAGTGCAAGTCTATCCAATGGTTCTGCTTCATCACGAAATGTGAGAGCTCTTTCCTCCTGTCTGCTAATATTCATTTTCCTGCAGAAAGGAACAGTATCTGAAATGCAGGGATTTTGTGGTGGCTTTGCAGCAACCCACGCGTGTCCTGCAGGAGCGGCGTTCTTCCTGTCATCGACCTATCGAAATGGAAAGACGCGAGATTTTCTGGGCCGGCTGGAGTTAACTAGAAGTAATTCCCCTCTTTCTTCCCGACTCGAAAAGGAGGCAATGGTTCTTTCTCTCCACCATCCAAAGTTGAAAGTTCCCCAAACTCACGCCATGGAGACAACCGCCACCGTGAGACTTTGGAGTTGCCGCTGCTTCGTGCAACCTACCTCGAGCCAGTCAGTGGCTCTCGTTTTTCGGGTAGTATTTTTTCAATGGCAAGTTTCCGAGGGGGAATGGAGTACAATGTCTCTGACGTTGGGGGTGAAAGCACGATATACCCAATCGGGGAAAAGGAGAATCGAAGCCTTTTGATTGTTTTTGTAAAATGTTTTTTTTTTTTCTTTTTTCCCCAAGGTTACACTTTTCTTTAGAGTTCTTGCCGATACAAAGGTACCAAGCTTGCAATTCTGAAACTCATTCATATTGACATCAGTTCTGCTTCATCGGTTGCTATTGACACATCCCATCACTCTTATTCGCAATTACGGATTGACGGAATATTATTTTACTACTTTAAATGGTTGTGCATGTCAAGTGTCGCTGCGCTACTTTTTAAACTATTTTCTCTGCGCTGGAATTGATGCTCTGAACCGATGCGCTTCAACTTGAATTTCCATCTTGGAATTAAATTTTTTTACGTTTGGCTTTATTGCTTTTTTTCTCTTCACGTATTTCTCTTTTCGCCCTTCATGTTGAATCACGGACTGAAGACTGGCACTTAAGACAACACCCACAGGGGAATATATGAATAATAAATCCCCTTTTCAGGTATTTGACCCGAAGAGGGATGCATTAATTAAATCAATGAAAAGGAATTTTGATTTGACGGTGACGAAGTGCCTCATCTGGGAAAGGGACATGAATTCAGTGCATTAATTCGTTGCCCTTGAAGTTGTTGCATTCGGTTCCATTTCTGCAGTCTCCACCCCTTCTCAAAGTGACTCAGCCGCTCTATGATTTTGATAGCGAAGGCGAAAAATGGCATTTCACCATTTCCACACGCTAGACGGACTACAAAGCGAAGTCGTCCCCGCTTCTGCCTGCTAGGTCATCGGGTCCCACTCGCTCCTGACTGGCGAACGAAAGGATTTACCTAAATCTCGCAGTCACGGTAATTCGCACAAAAACCGCGCTCTTTCGATTCGTCTGCACGATGTTCTCGAGCCCCTGGATTAACAGTAATTAATAAAATAAGAATACAGTAAAAATAATTTTTTTAATAAAAAATAAAAATTGCAATAATACGATTTGGCACAAAATAATTTGCAATTATTTGTTTGACACCTTCTATGGTTGAATTTTTGGATCATAATCGTATCCCAGAGAAAATGCCAAATTTTCGCGGAAGTGGAGTGGCTTTTGGACAAAAAACAACGATCGAGCTTCGGCAAATTATTTTCCCTCACGTTGCATTGCAGTAGTGCCAGCAGATCTCTACAGGTGTGTCTCGACCGAAACTATAAAGGTCCACCACTATCGTTCTCTTCGGCTCTTGGCCTTGCAGTGCGATTTCGCTGCCGAGGGAAGGAAGGATGAAGGTGGGATGAAAAATTCGAAATCTCGAAAGAGAATTGGGGAGGAAACATTGCTCCAGCCGATTTTCGTCACTCAAGTTTGATCGTTACTTCTTATTCAGACTCGACCGAAACTGCGATCATCTTTGATAAAAAGATGATCGCAGTTTCTCCTGCGAACGCCATTCGCTCGCAGAACGCCGGAGACGAATCACGAACCACCCTAGTTTCGTCACGAGTAATGTCACTAATAGACTCGCAAGAAGCAGCGAGTCGGCCGCGTCTCCGAACGTATCGTCGTCGCATCGCAGAATTAAGAGCATACCGGGAATGCATATGAATCCCGAATGGACTGCATCAGAGAAAATACAGAACGCGAATCGGCAGAAAGAGACACTTGTTCGAGTGCCGATGCCGTTTTTGAAAGCGAATGTTAATTTTCCCTTGGACGCAACAAACTCGGAAAACTGATGGAGTCCACGAATCGTTTTGGTTTCTTCTCTCCGCGTTTTCAAAAACCGATCGGACGTGCTTTTGGAGTTCCTCGACCTCGCGTTCGGAAATGCTAATTCGTGAGAGGAACAGAACGAAACGTCCTCCCAAATTTCATTCCGTCGAATCATTCATAATTCCACGTCCAAGCTGCTTACTTCTACCTTCTCCTTTTGCCGCGCTCTGCCGTGATCTCGGGTTTCGTCCACTTCGGGTGTTTCGCAGTCGCGTCACATTCTTCGTTTCGGTGGTATAAAGTGCTTTATCTTTCGAGGTACCTGAGGGTCTTGGAGACGATGGCTTACAACATGAAGCGATGTGCGAACAGAAAAACTCAAAGGGAAGAGTCATTTCGATAAATGTTGAAGACGATAAAAGAAACTCGTGCATGTCATGGAGATGACTAAGAACTAATCAAATAAACAAAGTGAGCAACACAAACGGCTTTTGACAGCTAACACTGCAGTTATGATCTACTTGAGTTGAATTTTCGATCTATTCATAAACTCCCATTGAGTTATGATGCTCGAGTAATGATTGGAAAAGCTCAGCTCGAAGTAATAATTTGCACAGGACTGCCACTGGGAAAAAATTGGTAAATCTCAAACCCCACACAGCACAAGCACATCCCAAACTTTATCCTTGGGATAAGTGAGAAGTCCCAGATAGTATTTGTGATGACATCTCAACGATATCAAAATATCTGGGTGCCTTTTCTTCTGAAACATGGGCTACCAGGATGGTTGTACCCAGACATGCCGATCAGACTTCAATAATGAGAATATAACGCAAAGTATTCAAATGAGAACCTCAGTGTTTTCACTTTCCTCGGTGGAAGTTTTCCTGGTGTACCGCACGAGAATCATTACTTCTCGTCTGTACCAATCAAGTTGATGAAATCGATGAAAAGATCTGAGGTTGGGGATCAAGGCACGCGGGAGACACCTACCGTCAAAGTTGCGCACCTGACTGAAGGTCACAAATTCGACCGAAGATGTCCCGAAGACATCCCTTTCGAGAAGTCGAAAACCGTCCGACTGAAGACATCCTTAGGATGTCCCAGAAAGACCTTGGGACAAGTCGTCCGGTTGAGGACATCCCCGGGATGTCACCGCGCCGTGTGAGAACGAAACAATTACCCGTACATGTCTAGAGCTAACCTCAAGGAAACCAATAGAAATATTCTTCTTCTTACCAGGTTTTAAGGTGTTCACAAGTTTTTATAACCGCACGTTTTATTATTCATTGTTTATAATCTCGACAGAGGAACGCGAAGTAGACGAAAGTATAAACAGCTCGCTGACTACATGCTGACTCGATGGGATTTGGCGTCTTGCCAGCGAAGTTACAGCTTGATTCTCGATCCACACGCACAAGGCCGCAATGCCCATCGAGTGAGCAAAATGGGGCGATGTCTATAGAATATACTAGCCCTTATGGAAATATCACCCCCATTGGAATCGGGAGTAAGGGCTTATCTTGAATACTTGTATGACCGCAAGCACCTCTAAACGACCGCGCAGGTCTCTTTTCGCCACAGGCTGTGACAGTTCTCCCGTTTTCCTTGTTCAGACAGGGCATGTCAGGGCAAGATGATCGGTTCGAGCCAAGCCAAGGGAGGTTCCGTCTTCATTTCTGTGTGCGTGAATATGTGCCAACTTGTTCATATTATCTTGGCTGTGCGTTTCAAGATTGCGTATTCCTGACGTGTCCTCGTGAATTGATACGCGGCATGACATGAATGCAACTTGGAAGCACAGATCAATTCGACAGAGGGGGATTTATCGTTTCAAGTCGTACTCTCGCCAGTATTTTCCCTTCTTTGCATGTTGATCCCAATTACATCTACTTACCTTGTAGGAAAATCAAGGATTAGACTGAATGTTGTTTGGAACAAAGTAGCCTAAAAGGAACATTCTCGCAGGGTGAAGGATAGCCTAATTGTTTCATGTATACCCACAAAATAGGGCTGTGGAAAACGTGACATGGAGTTCGTACAGAAATTGGGAGCGTGTGGAATCGTGCAAATCTTATGAAAACGTGGGAGTCTACGACTCCCTCACTGGTCCTCGCAGGATTCTTATGAGAGAACTATATTATAATATGCCACTAGGCTTATGATAAGATTTTGAAATTAATACTCTCATGGGTGAATCAGGCCAAACTGGAGCAATTGCGTGTCTTCAGACTTTTAAATTCCATAACTCTGACAGTAATGAACCTATCATGACAAGATTTGAAACATCAATAAGTCATGTCAGAGCAATTCTTTCAATATATTTTGGCAGTGGCAGTGTGCAATTGAATTTGTCCCGCCCGTAACGCGTCTTTGTAGAAGTACACTCAGAACTAATACCAAACTAATCCTAAATAATAAAAAAAATAAAACTAAACTCCGCCAAACCAATCCGTGTTCTTTGTTTTTTTTTTTCAAACCTTTTTTTTTCAACATTCCAAACATATTAATTTTCAGAATACACTTCAACTGCTATTAGAGGCAGTGTCTCTCTAGCTTTGCCAAGGATTATAGGTGTCCCCAGAATTGGCACTTTTTTCTGTCCCACCCGTAACGGTAGTGTCATAAATAGGCGAATTGAAAATGGTGAGCTGATATTTTTCACATGAAGACGTCATCATACCTACACGAATTACACATAATTGGAATCATCATAGTTCTGATGTAATTTTGAAAATTTTTTATTGTTTTTTGCTTTTACCCGCAAATGTCAAGCATAATTGTCCCACCCGTAACACATGCCTTGCATGCTTACCCTGTTAGGTACAAGACTACAACTGCCCTTGCTGATGCGCATTGCTGCACAATGACAGG